AATAAACACTCCTTTACCAAACAAATTTTCCCTGCTGGAGTTTTGGGATGTTGCGTTGCAGGAGTCGGACACAGCTGACATCTCAAAGAACCTTCACACACAACTCTCGACCTTGGCACAGACTGCCAACTCAATTTAATACCACGTTAACCCAATTTAACGGCATAGATTGACTTTATACAGCCCTGTTGTGTTCCACACTTTAATGAAAGGCGACTCCATTTGATTTATTGCCATCGATTACTTCATCGTTATCGTGGGATGTGTGGCGTGCGACAGTAATATCCAACAACAGTTGACATCAACAACTACACATAAGCACGCCGAGCACGAGAAACTCCACGTGCAGCACGCATCTCTCGAGATAGTGCTGCGAGAACACCACACATGTTTGTTGTTGCGAACAATTTGGAATATCACTTCACAGACGATAACGTTGTCCGCGAAGTGAAGCTTTTTGTGAGTGAGTGAGTATAGTTTTGTGCCGCTTTTAGCAATATTCAAGCAATATAATGGCAGAGAACACAAGGAATGAGTGTCACACTTTGCACCCATGTTGGGAATCGAAACCAGGTCCTCAGCGTTATAATCGAACACTTTAACCACGATGTCAAATAAAAACCCAGAATGATTTTGGAGCGGCTACACAATATAACTGCCACATTCCTTGGGAGATAAATTATCACCGTATTAAAGATAGGTTATATTATGTAACCTTAATGATCGTACTTTCAAAACCATTTCAGACCGTTCTGTCCCTTACTGTGGCAACCGACACCATGGTGTAGTGGCTAGAGCGTCCGCCCGGAGAGGGAAGGTCGCGGGTTCGATCCCCGGCCGCTTCATTCCAAAAGACGTTAAAATATGGTACTTGTTAGTCCCTGGCGCTCGGCATTAATGGGTACAGCAACGACTGGTCGGCTCGGAGTCATTATAATGTGTCTAAGTGGGGCATTCATGCTTAATTTCGGCATGGTATCTCAGAGAGCTGGCACTATGCCGTCGTTATATGAGCGAAATATTCTTAAGTACGACGTTAAACCCAATTTCACCTCACCTGAACTGACTGTGGCCAAAGAGAAAACGGGTTTGATCATGTTATTATGAGGTGGGTGAGTGAGTTTACATTTACGCCGCACTCAGCAATATTCCAGCTATATGGCGTCTGTCTGAATTTTTTTAGACGCTTTTATAATATCTGAACGCAATCAAGGGACGCAACTCTGCAAAGCAAAATGTTATTGTGAGTGCGTGAGTCAGTGTGGTTTGACGCTTTTAGCAATATTCCAGCAATATCACTGCGGGGGACACCAGAAATGGGCTTCACACATTGTACCCATGTGGGGAATCGGACAATATGAGTAATAGCTGCCAGAACAGAAAATGGGATGCATACAGGCTCCTGGTGCTGAAGAGAGCGTGAAAATAGACTGCTTCCAATAAGACCGGGGAATAAGTATAGTCTTTTGCTGATGAAAAGTGTGTGGTCAGAGGCTGCTTTGCCTGGGAAGGGGGGTGTGAGTTAGGTTTAACGCAGCTTTGAACAGCATTCACGATGTGTCAACTAGACAGCTATAGTCTGTTTGCAATTAAAACGTACCGATGAATTTCACTTTAAACAAAAAAGTATATCGAATAAATTGAAATTAAGATTGCGAATCCTCATAATTTTACCTTGCCAATTGAAAATTTAAATATCGGAATTTATTCAACTTAATACAAACAATAATAACGATTTGAAACTATGATCGTTTGTTAAACAACTTTTAATCCTAAAATAAAGTTCCGATATTTCACTGTATTTAATTTTTTTGTTTAAAGTGAAATTCACGTTTTCACTGCAAACAGACTATAAGTCTTGGAAGAAATCCAGAAGAGATGCAGAACTCAAACGTATACCACTTTGGTGAAACCTGCAAGCACAGATATGGTGGGTACAAACCTAATGGGTAAGGTGGGTTTCGAACCCTATGCTGCTTGGGGTGAGTAAAGGTTGCTGGAGCCAGGAAGGAGATGAGTATGGACTGCAAGAGCTGAGGGCAATTTATTTTATTACACACACTGTCTGGTGTCAGACGCACCTGCGTGACACTGATGACCCCCATTGTCCAGGACTCGATGCAGGTGCGCTAGGCCGTCTACTGTCTGATGACGTGGAATTAACAGGTCTTGTCATCACTTGCAACTTACATACATGATCATCGGCAGACAAACAGCCAATCGATGACGTGATGTTGAATACTTCCTACTATCTCGCACAAGTTAAATCATCTTAACCCGGTAATGGGATTGCTCACACAACCTTTAAATCCGTTTACTTGGTTTGTAGTTCATGCAGAGTGTACTGTCGATACACAATTGGCAAAGTGTAGCGGTGCAGCATGGCGCTAACATAGCAACTGTTGGCGTTATACATAAGGTTTGGATTGCCCTGCTACACTGTTTACAATAGCAAGATGGAATTCGTATTAACCTTTCTGGATTGGTATCCAGCTGTGCCGAACTTGCCTTATGTCGAGTAATGCATACAGTTTGTGAGTTTAGTTTCACGCAGCACGACAGGGAGAAGAAGTATAGTCTTCTACAGATAAAGGTGTGATAGAGGCTGCTTTACCTGATAAGGGCGAGTGAGTTTAGTTTTACGCCGCACTAAGCAATATTCCAGTTACATGGCGGCGGTCTGTTAATAATCGAGCCTGGACCAGACAATCCAGTGATGAACAGCAAAATCATGCATACAGAGTACAGATTGACCCAAAGGTAATGAACCAACACAAGTCCACTAAGGAGTTTAGAATCACGCATGAGGTTTGTTAAACGGCGCTTGTAATATTATTTCAGTTTTATTACAACGTGACAGCTTTACGTGATAGGAAAGCCCAAACTGACGCAGGTGTTAGACATAAACTTGCTTTGTGAAACCCATCAGCTGTGTTATGGTGTTGACTGAACCATTATCAGAGCTATATATAGTCTGTTTGCAGTGAAAACGTACCGATGAATTTCACTTTAAACAAAAAGGTAAATCACATAAAGTGAAATTAAGATTGCGAATCCTCATGATTTTACCTTGCCAATTGAACTTTTAAATCTCAGTATTTTATTCAACTTAGGATAAAAGTTGTTTAACAAACGATCATAGTTTCAAATCGCTATTATTGGTTTGTATTACAAGGGGGTACGCGCAGTAGTTGGAATAGTGAAACAAACGTACGTGCGGTCCGTGATGAGCGTTAACTTAGACTACCGTAGAAACCAACCCTTGTAATACAAACCAATAATAGCGATTTGAAACCGGGAATGTTCAATTGGCAAGGTAAAATCACGAGGATTCGCAATCTTAATTTCACTTTATGTGATTTACTCTTTTGTTTAAAGTAAAATTCATCGGTATGTTTTCACTGCAAACAGACTATATATAACCCGTGAAGGTCCGGGTTAGACTGAACCTTCAGTATCCCATGGTTGTCGAAGGAGGCGACTAACGGGATCGGGTGGTCAGGCTAGCCGACTTGGTTGACACATGTCATCAGTTCCCAATTGCGCAGATCGATGCTCATGTTGTTGATCACTGGGTTGTCTGGGTTCAGACTCGATTATTTACAGACCGCCGCCATATAGCTGGAATATTGCTGAGTGCGGCGTTAAACTTAACTCACTCACTCATCAGAGCTAACTGGGATTGGAACTATCGATCGACCTTGTGAACATTCAGGTCAGATTTTTTTCTTCAGCAACTATGCTTGTCGTAAGGTGCAACTCACGTGACAGGGTGGTCCGACTCGCTGACTTAGTCGACACATGTCATCGTATCCCAATTGCGTAGATCGATGTTCATGATGTTGATCACTGGATTGTCTGGTGGTCCAGACTCAATTATTTACAGACCGTCACCATACAGCTGAAATATTGCTGGGTGCGGCGTTAAACCAAAAAAACACAAATCGACCAATTGATGACAGCCGTCATGGCTGAGAAGCCCAATACCGGCACCATAGACAACTGGTCACCTTTGCGAACAGTTTCAACAAACGTCTTATTGTTTGGGATGCCGTTCAACCCATGTTCAGCGTCTATGACGATCAAAGCAGACGTACCAATCGATAATGTAAACGTCATCACATAACTTAATCAATATTTTCCTCGCTTCTTACGGAAACTAGCGCAACAGATCGAATATTGTTTACTGCATAAACTCTTCACTTATTGAATGTGGACAAACCCTAACATGAGTCACTTCATCGATTGAGACTGCAGATTACCTGGAAAAAGGTGGATACCATGTTCACCGAGTAAGATGAGGTGATCCAGTAGATACACAATACCTTATGTAAATCGGATATATTTACCCAGAGGAATTAGCATACGTATCGTATTTCACATGTTTAAGCATGTAACAGATTCAGGAGATTAAACATTTTACAATTACTGCCAGATGACATGTTCTACCATGCAGATAAACAGCATTATATGGTAATGTAATTTCAAACATACAGACAAATCCAAAGGCGAGGTTCGGATTCCATTTACAATTTTTGTATATTTTTAAAAAAATATTGTTCTTTTGAAGCCTGTAAACAGAAGTGTTTGAGCTTCAATGCAGCGGACCCGTGAAGACCCTGGGTAGAATAGGTCTTCAGCAACCCATGATTGCCACAAAAGGTAACTAAGCTTGTCGTAAGAGCCGACTAACGGGATCGAGTGGTCAGGCTCGCTGACTTGGTTGACATGTCATCAGTTCCCAATTGCGCAGATCGATGCTCATGCTGTTGGTCACAGGATTGTCTTGTCCAGACTTGATTATTTACAGACCGCCGCCATATAACCGGAATATTGCAGAGTGCGGCGTAAAACTAAACTCACTGAATGCAGCGAAAGGTTGGTATTGAAAGAATTGGGCTGCAGTTTCATTTATCTTATCCTCATTGACGTCGAATGATCAAGGAAGGTAATAGGTAATATTTAAGAGCAATGATGTACACAAAAGGTCCACATAGTTATAAAATAAACACTTTTTAATGTTTTATCAAAAGACAAATTGTAAACACGACAAAACAACGAATGGAGAAATATGGATGTGCCATTGTCCCGGTCTATCCCGGTAAGAGCAGTCGTCCCAGGTACACGATATCACATCACTGTGACCTTGACCTTCAACAGGTCATCAGTCCGGTCACTGGTCAATCGGGTCCTCATCAGTGTTTCATATCCTTTCTCTTGGTCCTTTACGAAGCGGTTGCCATGGGTACCCGTTATTTCATATCACTGTAATTAAATGCAAAACAGATTCAGAACAAATCATTCAACCACTGTATGGTAGCATTAGTGTGAACTGAAAATATAAGGTCAGCGAATAAGCAACTTACAATAACAATTTGTTATTGTACCGAACATTTTCGAGCCACATTTCATGCTGATGAAAATATCAAAACTACTTAAAGTTCATAAATCATGACAGCTGTACTAAGCCTTAAATAACCTTTTGTTTTCTGTGAACATCCAGCCCTGCTTCCGTATTGTTATTTATTACACGTTCAGTCACCACCTACTGGAGCGAACACCCATGCCCTGACCTGGAAACAATGTTTATGCACAGCGTGTAGATAGCCGTATATAGCTGGCTTTGTCCTTGGCCTTCACCAAACTGTTTACGACCTATAGCAATATCTGCTGATCATGCACGACCTACCCTGTTAGCATACCGACCAGAAAACACTGACGGTTAGAGTTCCTTACGTACCCCCCACCTATTTCTAAAAAATATATACAATTAATGAAAAGTACCTTAATAACATGGGAGGGGTCCATAAAGTCGAAAACAAACCAAACATGAGATAATTGATTTTTTACATACCTGAAATCGATCTCGAGGTCATAGGTGGGGGCACTATCGACTTCGTTGTGTTTATAACTCAGAGAAGCACTTGTGTATGAAAAACTTAAGTAATACACTAAAAACTGATGTTCTCAACACCATATAAACACACAGCTTAGAAGAAAGCAACCCGTGATGTTTTTACACACAGAGGAGATGAGTGTTATTTGCAACAAGATCATACATGTGAGAAAACGGCAATCTAAATTATGTATATACTTCAAAATCCGCTTTTCGAAGCCGGTAACACCCATAATATCCTACCTTGGGTTATCATGATTTCTTAACCGTGGATGGACCTTTCTGTCCAGTCGCGTTGTTTTGAGCATTGTTCATAAGTTTCTGGACGGTCTTCCTTGTGTGTCCACACGGGTCCTCCCGAATGTGTTGTTCGGCTTCTTTCTTCGTCCGTCCCTTTCCGCTATGGCCCGTGTTCACAAATTTATCCTGTTCTATGTTGTATTTTTCATATTCGTCCATATATTGCTCGTCTGCTGCTGACATTTTGTGTTCTCGTGCGATATTACGTCTGCTGAATGATACGCCTTGCTGTTCGACTGGTTTTGTTTACACTCGCCACGGACTTCTCGTGATCTGATGTATTTATACACTTATCTACAAGTCTATTGGTCGAGCCAGTTAGTGTTGCGTCCTGATTGGCTACTCATCACGTCACTGCGAGGTCTCGTGAGGTTATCCAGAGGTTAACTCTGAGTACAGCAAGCCACGTCGCTTACAGCTCAACCAAATTATGACAGCCACCGTGGGGACTTGTCATCCCGTAAGCCTTCCCGTGATTGTACAGCGTTCGTACACAGCTGTGAATTCACACATAAACAAATTATTGCATCAGCTAAATGCAAGGATATATATAGGTTTGGCTGAGGCTCTACGTGCAAATTAACAGTTATGTTGACTCAAGAAAGAAAAATATGTCATAGCTGAATAATATTTTTATTAATTCTGATAATATCTGTGTAAACAATATAATATACAACGAGTATGTTAATATCGCTGGCTGTTGATATTAAGAGGCCAGGGTAAATTATGATGACGTTGCAAATTTTTACACTAGATAAGAACACCCTATTAGATGTTTTGCGGGAACATATAGAGCAGATACGATAGCTCTTTTCTGTGATTCATTAAAATCAGGGCCAGTGGGGTAGCCCAGTGGTTAAAACGTTCGCTCGTCACGCCGAAGAACCTGGTTTGATTCCCCACATCGGTACAATGTGTGAAGCCCATTTCTGGTGTTACCCACTGTTACTGCTGGAATATGGCGTGAAACCTCACTCACTCACATTCATAAAATCGATTTGACAGATCGAGGGAATTTAAACCCGGATTCTTTCGAAGACAAGCGACCACACGACCCATGTATGTATATTATAAAAATTTAACATTAAAACAAACAAGTACTGTGTGTGCATGCGTGGTTCCTTGGTACATAAACAAACTCAAAAGTAATCAACCAAAAGAGCTTTTACATCCCCACTCAAATGACTAGAACTTGTGTTATGCCAGTAATGCCTAACACCAGGCAGGGCAACAACAAATACCAGAGTCAGGGATCGAACCACCAGCTGTCCGGACACTCTACCTACTAGGCCATCGTGGTTCATGGAGCGTCCGAGGGTATGCCATCTTCAACGTGTATACGTATGTCCACTGAGGTGTACCCTGTGATGTTGTGGACCCAAACGCTTTTTTAAGTTTTCAGTAAACTGCCAGCTGCACCCACAATGTTATGCGTGCAGATAGCACAGTTATAAATGGTGATCGAGTGTCCACAATGGCCGCTCGGTTTGGCCAGTACATGGGTGGGAAACCAACAGGAAAGCTGTACCCAGGTTCATTCTGACCAGCTTAACGTAACCTCGGCAGGTTGTTATACTTTGTACATATGTTAATTCACGTGTCTAAGGTGAGGTGACATTGGGTTTAACGTCGTGCTTGAGAATATTTCGCTCATATGACGACGTGCATACGTGTGTATGTGTATGTGCGGCTGCTTGTACTAGCCCAGACTGAAGCTGGTTTTATAGTGCTAGCCCACTGAGATACCATGCTGCAGTGAAGCATGAATACCCCACTCAGACACATTATACTGACTCCGAGCCGACCAGTCCTTGATGTACCTATTAATGCCGAGCGCCAGGCAGGGACCACTAAGTACCATATTTTAACGTCTTTTAGTATGACGCGGCCGGGCATCGAACCCGCGACCTTCCGCTCTCCGGGCAATTCACGTGTCTACATCATATTGGTACCTGCGTATATGTATGTATGTGTTATGGGTATGTGAATGTGCATGTGCGTATGAGTATACGGCTGCGTATGCGTACGCGAGTACTTGCTATGACGTATGTCCATATAATGAAATGTACTGGGAAACGATGAAGACATATCTCAGTCATATAGCATCTTTGTTTAGGTATATATAGATGATCTTGTGGTACCCTTACATCGTATCGGAGACTATATGACAGAAGAATCATGGACATCCGTACGTGGTATACCCTATCCGGGCAAGAACTGGTCTTCAGTAACCCATGCTTGTCGTAAGAGGCGGTCCGCCCGGAGAGCGGAAGGTCGCGGGTTCGATCCCCGGCCGCTTCATACCAAAAGACGTTAAAATATGGTACTTGTTGGTCCCTGCCTGGCGCTCGGCATAAATGGGTGCAACAATGACTGGAGAGCGGAAGGTCGCGGGTTCGATGCCCGGCCGCGTCATACTAAAAGACGTTAAAATATGGTACTTAGTGGTCCCTGCCTGGCGCTCGGCATTAATAGGTACAAAAAGGACTGGTCGGCTCGGAGTCAGTATAATGTGTCTGAGTGGGGTATTCATGCTTCACTGCAGCATGGTATCTCAGTGGGCTAGCACTATAAAACCAGCTTAAGTCTGGGCCAGTACAAGCAGCCGCACATACACATACACCCGCATGCACGTCGTCATATGAGCGAAATATTCTCAAGCACGACGTTAAACCCAATTTCACCTCACCGTAAGAGGCGACTAACGGGATTGGGTTGTCAGGCTCGCTGGCTTGGTTGACACATGTCATCGTATCCCATTTGCGTAGATCAACTCTCATGGTCTTGATCACTGGATTGTCTGGTCCACTGATGATCAATTCTAACCCGGATCTTTCTGTGTTATGATATACAAAATACCCCAGAACCATTCTCCACCAAAACTCCATTATCTCGTTCATCATCAGCCATTACGTTGCGTGTATCTGAACGAATAGTCCAAGTTTCACACATCTAGATCACACTAAAACCGATGTTATTGTAACGAATGATTCGAGGGTATTTATCAAACCGGAATGGAGATAAAATGCACTTGATAATCGAAGATGATATATTTTCATTCATCATATACCTATTACTTAATGATATGAGGCATTTTGCATGTAGGATAGTACCAACACATAGACGGTCGTATCACAGATGGTGCAAAAACCAAACCATATCACCCCTCCTGTTGGGTCGATATGACTTGTCAATGCATTTTGAATTGGCCAGCGAAATTTGCCTCGGTGTTGAGAAATTAGAGTTATCCCCCTTAGTGCGTCGTCTGCTCGGTTAGCTTTCCGTTGATTGTCTCACAGTCCCTGAGTCAACCTTCCATCCAGCGTTTCTGCAGTGCAAAAGCCCAACATGAAGTAAGTTTAATTTTCCCCAGTTTCAGGTCTAAATACTAGTATCCAATCTCACTGGGGCTCCTTTTCAATTTAAATGAAATATTTGTTTCTATCAAAAAATACACATATATCGAGGGGTTAGAATAATGGTACGAGGACATACATGTATTTAAAAGAGTAACGTACACAGAACGTTTTGCGTTTTGTCAGTCAGACAATCAACTGTACTGGCTGTTAAAATTCAAATAATGCTTCTCTATTGTTTTATATCTTAACAAAATAATTAAAACTTTGGAAGATTAACATATTTTTGTAGATAATACTCAACTGTTGATGGGTATTTTAGAATGTTGTCTTTGTACAACACATTTAATTGCTAAAGTCGGAACTAATTTGCATTTTGAAAATGGTTGAGGTTACGTGGCATCAAATTCATTTCTTACCCCAGTCTTCATTGGCCTATTACATGTTTACACCACATCACACACCTACCGACCGTTTACAAACTTTCGCAGAATTAAATGTTTAAGTAGACATCATAAAATTAGAACGGTTCTTTCAGTTTTAAATTACTTCAGAAGAAACGAACTCGGAAAACATTCTTTTGTACAAAGTGATCTTAGCGCTAAGGTGATCGTAACTTAACATAGACCTACGGCAGTCGTAGACACCAGGGTTGTTTTGTACACCACGTGCTGGTCTGTTAGTGTAGTGTAGTGTAGTGTAGTGTAGTGTAGCGTAGCGTCGCGTCGCGTAGTGTAGTGTCGCGTCGTGTAGTGTAGTGTAACGTAGCGTAGCGTAGGGTAGTGTAGTGTAGTGTAGTGTAGTGTAGTGTAGTGTAGTGTAGTGTAGTGTAGTGTAGTGTAGTGTAGTGTTGCGTCGCGTAGTGTAGTGAAGTGAAGTGAAGTGAAGTGAGTTGTAGTGTAGTGTAGTGTAGTGTAGTGTAGTGTAGTGTAGTGTAGTGTAGTGTAGTGTAGTGTAGTGAAGTGTAGTGTCGCGTCGCGTAGGGTAGTTTAGTGTAGTGTAGTGTAGTGTAGTGTAGTGGAGTGGAATGTAGTGTCGCGTCGTGTAGTGTAGTGGAGTGTAGCGTAGCGTAGTGTAGTGTAGTGTAGTGTAGTGTAGTGTAGTGTAGTGTAGTGTAGTGTAGTGAAGTGAAGTGTGTGTAGCGTAGTGTTGCGTCGCGTAGTGTAGTGAAGTGAAGTGAAGTGAAGTGAAGTGTAGTGTAGTGTAGTGAAGTGTAGCGTCGCGTCGCGTAGGGTAGTTTAGTGTAGTGTAGTGAAGTGTAGTGTCGTGTCGTGTCCAGTTGTGTCGTGTCGTGTCCAGTCGTGTCGTGTCGTGTCGTGTCCAGTCGTGTGTTGTCGACACAGGTTATGGGGTATGGTAATTGTTCCCCATAATTTGTGATATCAATGGATGTTTGTTCACACTTGTATTACTTTGACATTTCTTTTCATCAGTTTATCGCCCTTGGTTGTGTTTACAACGTCTTTGAGTACGCGGGTCAAGTGGGGAAGGTGAGTTTAGTTTTACGCCGCTTTTATGATATTCCAGCAATATCACTGCGGGGACACCAGGAATAAGCTTCACACATTGTACCCATGTGGAGAATTGAACCCGGGTTTTCAGCTGTCGTACACTGTATCTGCTGTGTTCACTTATAAAGAGGTAAACAGATACGACCTAGTTCACCTGACACACCGTTACATAACTGACATGGTATCAACCTGGCCGACACTCACTCACTCACTCACTCGATCGAGTGTTGGACTTGTCAGTACATGCTTCAAGGGAAAGAGAAATATGGCATGTGACCGAGATGGCATGTCTGACAGGATATGGCCGGAAACACCTACTTACTAGTAGGATAACTGTGAACAGAAAACACACACACACACACACACACACACACACACACACACACACACACACACACACACACACACACACACACACACACACTCTCTCTCTCTCTCTCTCTCTCTCTCTCTCTCTCTCTCTCTCTCTCTCTCTCTTTCTCTCTCTCTCTCTTAGATCCCCAACCCCATCCCCACCAAGACTGACTGGTATCACACTGATGCTTGCTCATTCTAAAATGTTGCCTACAGTCCGTTTGAGACAAAATGATACTGATGAATTGCAATCAAACA